TATGTACCTGGGACAAAGAATAAGAAGGGTGTTGACTGAACCCACACTGGTGATTCTGATGCTGGTGCAGAAACCACTTCTTCTAAGGAGCATCAGTCCCTCACTGGTACAGGATGCTGCAGAATCCAAAGATAGATAGTTCTGTGGGCTGAAAAGAACCCATCATACCCAGTGGCTCCTCCAGGAGTAAGCGCTATAAAGAGAAATCACTAGAGTCCCCTTTTTACATGGATGGACAAATCTGCAGTGCTGTCTCTAAATGATTTGTGCCAAAAAGGCAAACCCTCCAAACAAGTTTCAGCTGATTCAGCAGGCATCAGACAAAATTCAGTTCATTTATGGCCAACTTTAATCTTTAGCCAGGGAGCAGCCATGGAATGATATCAACTGGCCCAGCCTGTAGGAACCTGCCTATTGTATCAATGTATTCATGAACTCTTTTTTTATTTGTTAATGTTTGGTATTGTAGTGGCTATCACGCTGTGGTGTGTGTATGCTGTTTGACCTTTGAAGCTTCCCGTAATTAGAGTATTCAAGCAAGAAGGGGGTAGACCAGATGGGGGTTGTTAGAGATAGGTCATGTGCCAGAAAAGGACCATACACAGAGGGATGTACAGCCCTGGCCAAAAGTTTTGAGAATTACACAAATAATAATTTACCTGCAAGGAAACATGTGCAGTCATCAATGCTTTGCACAAAAAGAGATTGACAGGCAAGGATATTGCACCTAAATCAACCATTTATCATATCATCAAGAACTTCAAGGAGAGGTAAAGTTGTTGTGAAGAAGGCTTCAGGGCACCCAAGAAAGTCCAGCAAGCACCAGGACTGTCTCCTGAAGCTGATTCAGCTGCGGGATCAGGGCAAACCAGTGCAGAGCTTGCTCAGGAATGGCAGCAGGCAAGTGTGAGTGCATCTATATGCACAGTGAGGCGAAGACTTTTGGAGGATGGTTTGGTGTCAAGAAGGGTAGCAAAGAAGCCACTTCTCTCCAGGAAAAACATCAGGGACAGACTAATATTCTGCAAAAGGTACAGGGATTGGACTGCTGAGGATTGGAGTAAAGTCATTTTCTCTGAAGAATCCCCTTTCTGATTGTTTGGGGCTTCAGGAAAAAAACCCTGTCCGGAGAAGAAAAAGTAAGCGCTATCATCAGTCCTATGTCATGCCAACAGTAAAGCATCTTGAGACCATTCATGTGTGGGGTTGCTCCTCAGCCAGGGGAGTGGGCTCACTCACATGCCATGACTAAAGAACGGTACAAAAAACACCCTCCGAGAACAACTTCTCCCAACCATCCAAGAACAGTTTGGTGATGAATAATGCCTTTTCCAGCATGATGGAGCACCTTGCCATAAGGCAAAAGTCATAACTGACTTGGGGAACAAAACATCAAAATTTTGGGTCCAGAGCCAGGAAACTCCCCAGACCTTAAGCTCATTGAGAACCTGTGGTCAATCCTCAAAAGGCAGGTGACCAAAAATCCCTATAAATTCTAACAAACTCTAAGCATTGATTATGCAAGAATGGGCTGCTATCAGTCAGGATGCCAGGAAGAAGTGCAAAGGTCTTGAAAAAGAAGGGTCAACACTTCAAATATTGAGTCTTTGCATAAACTTAATTGAATTGTCATTAAAGCCTTTGACACATATGACATGCTTGTAATTATACTTCAGTATATCATAGTAACATCTGACAAAAAGATCTAAAAAAAAATGAAGCAGCAGACTTTGTGAAAATTAATATTTTTGTAATTCTCAAAACTTTTGGCCAGGGCGGTAGTGTTGCACTGAATTGGGTTACTCCTTGGCGAGACCTTGAACTGGCGCTGTTAATGAGTGAACCACCATTGAAAGGGAAATTGCACAAGTTATAAGGTATGAGACACAACAGTCAAGTTCTAAAGATCCTTGCTAAAAGTTAGCAAAGATGAACACTATGCACTGATTAACCTGTTGTATTGCCATGTAATTGCTGAAACAAACTGTGTCAAGAAAGCTGTATCACCATCCCTTTTACTTGGTAAACATAATAATGAATAATGTATATAGACAAGTAAAAGGAGGAGGAGCAGCCAGTTCGGGAGAGGAGACTGTGGTGGCCGATGATGTAGGTTCTGTTGCAGGGGTGAATTGGTGACTGTATGGTCTACCCATCTAGAGGAAGGGACCCAAAGTTAAGGCCCGCTGCATAGCAGAACTCTCCTATGGACTGGGCCTGCACCACGAGAGTGTGAGACCTTACGAAGTATACATTAGTTTCCCTTCATGCCTTCGGGATGAAGAGTAAAGTGTAATGTGTAACATGTGTTCAGAACTGGTGGAGGAAGATCACGGTTTCATGATACTTCCCTCAAAATAGCTTTGTCGGGACAGGTGTCACCAGCAAGAGAACATATGATATCCTTGTAGTGTGGGGCCCAGTGTAGCAGATTGGCTTCCTGCCATAAGAGGACACTAACTCACACATGAAGTGGTACCATCATACAAACTCACAAATTATTCATGGATCATAGCATGCGGTTCCCCCATGCTAATGGAACCCTAGTGACCAACAAGTCTGCAAGGGAATGATGCTATAGACATTGTAGTTTACTGGCAATTCTGCAATCGGGTTGCCTCTAATATTGGGATCACTTATATGACATGGCCCTTACTCTCACTGATGGGTTCGTCATACACTTTACATTATGAAAAATTCATAACAAGGAGTGAGCCTCCCTTGGCTGGGTCCAAAATATCCATGGTGAGAGATTTTATGAGGCAGTGGTGATTCAAGCTACTGGCATCAAATCAAAGATAAAGTAGCAGCTTGGGGTAGACTTAGTTATTAATGAAATGGAATAGGATATATGATTAGTTGATTTCTGTTCATACATTTTTACAGCTGAAGATGAAATGAAATCTAGAAGAGGTGTATAAGGTCACCGAGGTCGCTGAGTATTTTAATAAAGCTCTGCCACCTTCCTTGTAATTAACATATTTGGGTAGGATGTTTTGCCAAGTCATTTCCACAGAACACGTACAGAGTAACTCATTACACAAACCTGTTTTCTTTAGCAGAGGAGCTGTTTCATTAGCAAGTGGCATCACTGTGCGGAGTTCTGTGTTAGAGGAGTGGGCAGCTTTAGGATGATTACCTACTGAAGCAGAAAATTAGTCTGTTTGTCCTGTAATCCCAAACGCCTCTGGATTTGGAGGATGTTTTTTCCTTTTAAACTATATCCTTGAGAGGCATTTATAGGTATGTTTGAGCAGTTTTAAGGCAAAAGGAAAAAAACTGTTCAAAACATTAATATTTAAAGCTGAACTCTGGGCAGATAAAAGAGGCACAAATCAATACAGATCTCTATTCACTATTACATTTGTGCTGTTACACTTGTTGTCTGAAAACATAATACAATGCATAATCATGGTTAATGTTCATATTACTGTAAAATGAGAATTTATATACAGTAGTTAATGCCTTGGTGCCGGCGCCTCCTGTCCCTTTGAGGGGTTTCAGAGGCGTGGCGGGATTTTAGGGTCATGTGACCGCCGTGATTCGCTGTCACGGCGGTCACATGATCAGGAAAGGTCCCGATCAAAAGAGGAGATCGGGACCTTTCCGTGAGTACCAGATATGTGTGCTGGGAGCGCGCAGGGCGCACGCTCTCAGCACATATGTTTTTCTTAAGAAAAGAAAACATTAATTGCACACGAATGTGCGGCCGCTCGGCGTCTAGGCCCAGATGCCAGGAGGCCGCACATTTGTGTGCGGCCAGCGTGAAGAGGTTAATTTTCCTAAGCCATTGTTTACTGACCTCAGTATAGTTGGTTAATATACTGCCATCCTGTGGTTATTGCACCATCTTTTTCTGTCTTCCATCCTGTGTTCCCTCCCACTTGAGATGTATTTCCTTTTCTTTTTCACTCTGACTTTATTGGGATGAAAATGGCTGCTAGTCCCTAGGCCACATGTAATCTGCTCACATCTGGAAACACATTACCATCTTTTTAATCATGTGCTACATCTTGTTGTCTGCTGTAACTGCTGCATGCAATAAAGATCTCTTTGGATGAGAAAAAAAGGTGTTTGGTGAGTTCAGCTATCTGATACAAACTGTCCGTGGTGATTGTATCTGTTTATACAGGTCAGGCTTAGAAGTCTCAGCAAGGGATAAGTCACTAATACAACAGTTGTAGTCAGAATAATAGTATTAAATGCATTGTTTAAATGTAAGTAGCGGAAGTACTTCAATGTGACCTGGTATCAGCCCTTTGGCAAATTTTGCGTGGCCTCAGGGCACCTGCAGATACTAATCTGTGTTTCCCTATTGCCCTATTATTGCAGTGATTTCTCTCAGTCTCATGCAATATGTCTGCAGTCAATGACTTTCTCCTGAAGCATGTCCCCAGTCTCCAAAAACTCCTATAACATGTCCACAGATCACTGACTGTCATGTCTGCAGTCTCTAACCATCTCTTGTATCATGTCTGCACTCCACATTTTTTTAAATGGGCCTCCAGGAGCTTTAAGACATAATGTACAAGTATTCACAGTATATTAGCACATTAAAGCTGACTTCCCTGTCAAGCGATTCCTCCAGCACTGCGCTGTCAGCTCTCCCACTGGTCATTGGTCCTTCCATCTTCTTCTGGTCTTCCTTCTGGGTTTAGACAGCTTGGTACACAGAGACACTGTACTCAGCCGATCCTGGGGGCTGATTTCCATAGTTGGAGATAAGATTCGCACCAAACCCGCACAAGATCCTTTTTTAACCAGATTGGAATCACACAGCATGGATGTGAACGGCGTTCATAGTAAACACTGTTTTTTCAGATGACAGGCGAATCTATGCCTTTCGGATTGGATGGAATCCACAAGAATTCACATCAGTGTGAACCAGGACTCACAGTCTTTTTTTTATTAACCCTTTCATGTTTATTGAAGGCGCTTATATATAGTAGCACCATCAATTTATGTGGCGCTTTGCATATATACTATATTGCCATATTGGTATATTGGTAGGTATTGGGCCAGCCCTCCAAATCAATGGATTCAGGTGTTCCAATCATCTCCATGGCCACAGGTGTATAAAATCAAGCATCTAGGCCAGGGGTCTGCAACCTTTAAGACATAAAGAGCCACTTGGACCCGTTTCCGAGAGGGAAAAAAAGACTGGGAGCCGCAAAACCATTGCAACATTTAAAACCAATCCGACACTGCATATATTGCAAAAAACGCTCTGGTCATGAAGGGGGTTTAAGGGCCCGGTAAGCAAAGGGTTAATCAGGGCCACAGTGTATCGTCATAATCAAAATCATAGCCTTAGGTCAGTGGTGGGCAACTTTTTTTTTTTTCGACTGAGCCAAATCTCGCCAAAACCACGATTGAAATTTATTTTGAGAGAAACATTTTTAAAACTGAAAATACATCCCCCATATAGTAATTCATCCCCCATATAGTAATTCATCCCCCATAGTAATTCATCCCCCCCTATAGTAATTCATCTCCCCTATAGTAATTCATCCCCCATAGTAATTCATCCCCCCTATAGTAATTCATCCCCCCTATAGTAATTCATCCCCCATATAGTAATTCATCCCCCATATAGTAATTCATCCCCCCTATAGTAATTCATCCCCCCTGTAGTAATTCATCCCCCCTATAGTAATTCATCCCCCATAGTAATTCATTCCCCATATTGTGTGAATTCACTTACCTTTGCTCCGCGCGTTCCTCTCGCTGGGTTCCCGCGCCGTTCTGGTCTTCAGGGCGGACTGTGAGAGGAGAGGAGTTCGTCACGCTGCCCCGCCTACATCCGGGCTGCCCCGCCTACATCCTGACAGCCAATGTTTGCCAGCGGGCGCCCGGCACACAGAAGATCTGCATTAAAAGAGCCGCGGCTTGCCGACCCTATTGCCTGTCACCTGGTGGGCAGTGTGCTCCGGAGCCGCAGGAAAGGTGAAAAAGAGCCGCATGCGGCTCCGGGAGCCGCGGGTTGCCGACACCCGATCTAGGCACACTGCTTTTAGAGACATTTGTGAAAGAATATGTCGCTCTCAGGAGCTCAGTGAATTCAAGCGTGGTCCCGTGATAGGTTGCCACCTGTGCAATAAGTCCATCCGTGACATTTCCTTGCTACTAAATATTCCACGGTCAACTGTTGGTGGTATTATAACAAAGTGGAAGCAACTTGGAACAACAGCAACTCAGCCATGATGTGGTAGGCCACATAAAATGATAGAGCGGGGTCAGTGCATGCTGAAGCGCACATTGTGCAGAAGTCGCCAACTGTCTGCAGAGTCAATAGCTAAAGACCTCCAGACTTCGTGTGGCCTTCAGATTAGCACAACAGTGCATGAAGAGCTTCATGGAATGGGTTTCCATAGCTGAGCAGCTGCATCCAAGCCTTACATCTCCAAGTGCAATACAAAGCGTTGGATGCAGTGGTGTAAAGCACGCCACAACTGGACTTTAGAGCAGTGGAGACGTCTTCTTTGGAGTGACCAATAATGCTTCTCTGTCTGGCAATCCGATGGACATGTCTGGGTTTGGCGGTTGCAAGGAAAACGGTACTTGCCTGACTGCATTGTGCCAAATGTAAAGTTTGGTGGAGGGGGGATGGTTGGGATTCAAACCAATGACCCTGGAGCTGCTAGTGCTAACCACTTTGCCACTGTGCTACCAAGCTGTTCTTCTCTCCTAAGCATACTATCTCCATGTGACTATTATAATAACACTTTCACCTCTCTTATCTTGCCCATCTGTATGTGACCCCTTAACACCTTCACCTCCTCCCTACTCTGTGTATGACCTGGGCGTTTAATGTATTTGGTGCGCCATTTCCAAGCCCTGTGTTTAACACCTCAGTACCAGCAAGTTTCTTCATTTCATAAAAAATTGTAGCAAAAAATAATATCACCTTGGGTATCTTCTTTCCAAAAAAGGGTAATTTTGGGGGTTTTCAAAGTAGTCTGGCATTTTTATTTTAAAAGACAGATAAGGAAACTAATTTTTTTTCCAAAAGCTTTGGTCTTTTTTCCTTTTAATAGTGACAAATAAAAAACCCAGCAGTTATTATATACCATTAAAAGAAAGCTCTATCTGTCTCAAAACAATGGTATAAATGGCATTTGGGTACAGGGTTTATATAACAGAGTAATTGTCAGCCAAACTATCACATATGTGAAAACTGAAAAATGTCCTGGTAATAAAGGGGTAGTAAAGACTGGTACTCAAGTGGTTAATGCCATCTTGAAATATTACCGATAACCCCGTTGGTTTTTTTATAACCCTGGTCAGCATTCCAGAGAACAAAAGAGAAACTCCAGCACAGAAAATTGAGGGACAAATATTGTTGTCACCACCAGAGCATCAATTGCTGAGAATTTAACTATGGTTGGAAGATTTCGGCTTTGCCCTCGGCCCTTCATATATAATCTGTCTACAACCTAGTATCCAAGGAAACAGGAGCTATTAGTACTTTGTCAGTGAAATCCGGATTCATGGCATTCTTATTTCCATCCATTTGTAAGAGCGTGGAAATCATGGGGGAAGGAGGGCACTGTGTTCTTCTCTTCGGAAGTCCCTGTCCTCTAAATATTCCGCATTACACCTCATTGCACTCTGCTCATTCACACAAGTTTCCAGGGAGATGGTGTGTGTTCTGTGGCGGCTGGAAAATTCCAAAACAAAATGGCTAATTTTATCTGTTCTGGGACCTTTGGTGTCTATTTTGAATCTTCATCACTTATATATTGAGGAACATAATTCTAACTTTTGTAATGGCATACACCACACGCACACACACACAAACACATATATATATATATATATATATATATATGCAGCGCTAAAAGTTGCAGTAAAAAATAATAATATTAAAAGACAATAATAATACTAATAATAATGATAATAATGAAGTGGGCGCTGTATAGGGCTAAAATGTGTTAAAATGTAAATAGTGAGCCATTATGAAATGACGCATACAGCTAATACAGGCAACTGATATAAAGTGTCTAAAGTGCGTTTTTAGATAAAATGCAAAAAGTCCAAATATAAAGGTGATCCGTGCTTCGTGCTGGTGATCTCTGTGACGTGGACCAGTAATGTGAATGCACTCACCAGAAGCGCAAAAGATATGCACATGTATATATAATATCCAAGTGTGGTCATCTGGGTGTAGGCGAGGATGGCGGAATCATCTGGCACACCATAGGCACACAAGGCAACTCCAATCACTCACAGGACACTCTCTGCTCCCAGGGACAGCTCCAAGTAAGCATCAGACCATCGGATCATTATCACCAAGAATTAGGGAAATCTCCACCTTGGAGGCTCGTATAAACCAAGCCAGAGACCTATGAAGCACTAATAGTGTAGTATTTTATTAATCAAAGTTCAGTAGAAAAAGGTAATTCTTGAGCACTCACGTGTATACAGGATAATCTAAAATGTCCGTCGGCCTTCCATGTGGCTGTCTGCGGCGTGACGTCACTATGGCACGCTCCTCCCTGACGTGTTTCATGCCCCAGCACGTTATCAAATCTTTCTCATACATAAGTACTCCTCCTTCTGCTTCCACCCATTACAAGTATAACTGTACAGTCTGAATTTAGATTTAACATAGGGATTCCAGCCAGGACTTCCATATTCCTCAGATGTACTGCAGGTCCCCTTAGGTAGATTGTCCTGATGAGCTTATACTACCCCAAATACATTCTCAACTCAAACTATAACCTACAAAATGATGTCTTGTAGGCTCTCTTCCCAACCTCTGCTCTTAGCTTTTCTGGCTCTGAATTAAAACGTACCAAGCTAACTCCACCCATAGTACCCTCCCCTGGGCGGGGTTTCCCTAAAAGGGGTACTAAACCCTGTATATATGTCAATCCCTGCTGCTGGCAGCCTGTCAAACTGAGAGTCTGTCCACTTCTGCGGCTGGACGGGACTGGTAGGTGCACTCAGCGCTACTTCTGTTTAGGGCAGTATACTCCAAGGGACGAATGCCTGGAACACATACTGCTTGACTCAATTCATAAAGCTAACACACACACAGAATTTCACAAAATTAACACATTAGAATAAGTATATTTATTTAAAAAAAGAAGTAATGATTATTTTTTAGCATTTCTCAGTCTAATGAAAATTTCAAGATTCCAGTTGCATGGCTAAGTTAGAGATCCTTGTCCTTGTGTTGAAGCTTTGTGAATTGAGCCTCCTGTGTGTGCTAATTATGCTAACAGATAACATTCACATTACGATTCCCTTCTTGTCATTGAGCATTTCTTGTCCATCACTGGCTGCTGCCATTTTGTTTGTGGCATCTGCTTCCCCTGCAGTCTTCGTGTAATCACCAGTGTATTCCCGTACATGATGCTCATTGGTATTTGGTCTTTTAGTTTATAACTATGGATGTGTTATATTGGAATGGCCAGACATGCCACACTACAGCAGGCCATATCATATTATAAGAAGTGTATACTGTATCTCTTATATGCAGTATGCTCTTTTTTGCTTCTCTTTGTATTCAGAATGCCCTTTTCCTGAAGAAGCACTCTGCAAAATGTTTTGAGAGATCAGAAATCCTCCACAACTTATAATACCTAAATCATCAATTTGCAAGTGCATTTTGCTCCAGAACTTAGTAAATGAGCAGAAGTTCTGTTGAATTCCATCATCCAATCATGTGCAGGAAAAATGTTTTTTTTTTTACTTTCCCTGCATGTGATAGGGTATTCTTTGCAAAGTAGAGTTTTGCCTCATTTAGTAAGCTTTGGAGCAACTGCATTTTACAATGTGCACAGTCTATTTGCCTTTAGTAAATCAACTCCATTGCTTGCATTGGACCTCCACGGCGTATGTCTTCCCCTACTATATAATCCCTATACAGTATATTTTATATGCTTGCTAAACATCTGGTGTGCTGAGGTCACTGCCTCTTCTGGAACAGATATAGTTATTCTTAGGTCATGTTCACGCTGTAGATGAGTAGATATTTATGGGGTTCTTTTCATTTAGGACTCAGCACTATTTATGATTTTATTGTTTCCCTATCTTTTAATATGGCCAACCTGATGTTTGGTTGAGTCAACGCTAATAAACTTTGCATTTCATATATATTGGTGTATGTTGTTGACATTTTTGGAGAGATAACACATCTTAAAATTCCCATATACTTTTTTGCCGTCTTTTGGGATCGAGGTATACTTCCTATATACAGTTGCAAGAAAAAGTATGTGAACCCCTTGGGATTACGTGGAGTTTTGCATGAATTGGGAATAAAATGTGCTCTGAACGTCATCTAAGTCACAACAATAGAAGAATACAGTCTGCTGAACATAATACTACACAAACATTAGATGTTGCCATGGTTTAATTGCACATAACATGTAAATATTCACAGTGCAGGGAGGAAAAAGTATGTGAACCTTTGGACTTAATAACTGGTTGACCCTCCTTTGGCAGCAATAACCTCAACCAAACGTTTCCTGTAGTTGCAGATCAGACCTGCACAACGATCTGGAGTAATTTTGGACCACTCCTCTTCACAAAACTGTTTCAGTGTAGCAATATTCTTGGGATGTCTGGTGTGAATCGCTCTCTTAAGGTTATGCCACAGCATTTCAATCGGGTGGAGGTCAGGACTCTGACTGGGCCACTCCAGAAGGCGTATTCTGTGCTGTTGCAGCCATTGTTTTGTTGAATTACTTGTATGCTTTGGGTCATTGTCCTGTTGCATCACCCATCCTCTGCGGAGCTTCAGTTGGCGGACAGGTGGTCGTACGTTTTCCTGCAAAATGTCTTGATAAACTCTGGAATTAATTTTCCCATCAATGACAACAATCCGTCCAGGCCCTGAGGCAGCAAAGCAGCCCCAAACCATGATGCTCCCTCCGCCATGTTTTACAGTGGGGATGAGGTTTTGATGTTGCTGTGCTGTGCCTTTTTTTCTCCACACATAGTTTTGTGTGTTCTTCCCAAACAGCTCAATCTTGGTTTCATCTGTCCACAGTATATTTGCCAGTAGTGCTGTGGAACATCCAGGTGCTCTTTTGCAAACTTAAAACGTGCTGCAATATTCTTTTTGGACAGCAATGGCTTCCTCCGTGGTGTCCTCCCATGTACTCCATTCTTGTTTAATGTTTTCCTTATTGTAGATGTGTCAACAAAAATGTTAGCATGTGCCAGAGATTTCTGTAGGTCTTTAGCTGACACTCTGGGATTCTTCTTTACCTCATGCAGCATTCTGCGCTGTGCTCTTGCAGTCATTTTTTCCAGGACGACCACGCCTAGGGAGAGTAGCAACAGTGCTAAACTTTCTCCATTTGTAGACAGTCTGTCTTACCGTGGACACATGAACATCAAGGCTTTTGAAGATACTTTTGTAACCCTTTCTAGCTTCATGCAAGTCAACAATTCTTGATCGTAGGTCTTCTGAGAGCTCTTTTCTGCGAGGCATGGTTCACATCAGACAGT